CTCTCTCTTGAGCGGTTCCTTCTTGGGGGTCGCTGAACGCCCTCTTGAAGGGGGAGGAGAGTCGAGAAGGTCCGTTGTAGACGGTCCAAGAATCATGGCATCTGGATAAATCAAGCCAGCATCCATGGATGGATCTAAAATCTCATCGCGACTCGAAGGTGTCGGTGCGACGGATGGCTGCCTACTCAAGGGTGCCGGCTTCCACGGTTTTCGCGGAAGATCTGCTTCCAACACACATTGGCTACAAACCGTGTAGTCGCCGGGGAAGTAGACCCGAAACATGCCGTCTGACCAAATGGGGCTGCTGAGTGTTGAGCCAGTTGGACCGATCAACGCAAAGACTGCATCGAAATAGATGTGAAGCGTCACGCTGCCCTCGAGATTGAAGCGGAATTGCCGGAGGTACTTCTTGCCACCGTCTCGGATTTCCAACGCCAAGTTCACATCGGTCGGGCTGTCAATATTCTGTTCCTGCGCCAGGTTCATGAACAGACCTATCTTTAGAGCTTTGCATGACCGCGTGTGTGCTCCTGAAGCCAGCGAGCATCGAGCCAAACACGAATGCCGCCCTCTAGCATGGCAGCTGGTGCAAGCACTTGCGCAGTGCGCGCCGGGATGTAGAGGTAGCAGGATGAAGGCCTGGTGGTGAATGCTAGCTAGCTCAGCCCAAAGCGTGAAAGCAGGAAAACAACTTTATCTAGCACAGCAGGCATAGCACGAGGCCAACGCTACTGATGGCAGCAGCTGGCCTGTTGTGGGTTGGCGGGCCAGCAGGCAAAGGCTTGCCGTGCCCCTCTTCCAGGCGACAGTGGCCACCAAAGCGCTCTTCATCGGAGTCCAGCACAATTCGCATCTTTTCCTCCTTCCGGATGCCAACCTCAGGAGGATTTTATCTCCGACGATTATGTAGGACTAGACTGCACTCAGGCTAACAGGCACATCCCCAATACAGAGCTTGAAGAAGCTCCAGCATTGCTGTGTGCCCTGCAGCCCCGGTCAGAGAGGTTCACTAATGAGCTGCGCAGATGCCTTACTGGAGAGTGCTTTTTCTCAGACAAGCCACTTGATAGCCTTCAAAGCTCCGACATGGATCGAGGTTGACCACGAAGGTGAGGCTCCCACGCTCAAAAATCAGCACTTTGTCGCTCTCATTGCAGACTGTCACGAACTCATGCTCTGAACTGAGCCACTTAAAGCGGTTCTCGAGCGCCTGCATGAGCTCATCGAAGTTCTGGAAGTACTTGTAGCGTAATGACTGGTCATCTGGCAAGTCCCACCTCCGCCTGCAGAAGTGATGACTCCAGTCGTTGCTCGCTTGAGGGAAGTCGACCCATTCAGGGTGCCCGAACTCATTGCCCATGAAGTTCAGGTAGCCCGAGCCCCCAAGGCCCAACACCAGGAGTCGCAGAGTCTTGTGCAGTTGCAAGCCGCGGTCGATCACAATAGAGGGCTCAGGGCTCTCTGCTAGGCTCATGCCGTAGTACATTTCCTTCCGAGGCATCAATGCACTATAATGCACTCCTACCCCTTTCTGAAGAATCATGAACAATCTCTTTCATGATATTCCCGGCATTACTTGCACCTGTTGAGTCGACGCACGCGTGCATGCTCTCTGGGCTTCCAGTCTTTTCATGAGCTTCAACCTACTCCTTCAACCTACGCTCATTCCTTGTTGGTTGTTTTTTCAGATTCGCTGAACGTTGCGCATTTTGTGAAGTCGCAGGAAAACTCCAAAGCTTATAGCCTGCAGAATGACATGCAAATTAGCGCGGTCAATATGGTCGCGCGTGGGCCAATTTCATGTTTGAGGATTGACAAGGTACGGGGCCAAAGCGAGGCGGCGTAACTGTTGCCACCTACCACCTGCATTTTTTGGCTGAAGGGAGTGGCAGCGTGTGCTGTGCAACCTGAGGCCGGAAGCAGCAAGCGTAGCAAACGCAAAACGGCAGAGACAGTTGTTCTAAAGGGCATACTAGTACTTGTAGCACATGGTGGAGCAGTTGGTGAAGCGACAGCGGCAGTGGCAGCAGCAGCGATGGCGGTGCTGTCGGCGGTAATCTGCGCATACTACAATACATGGCACCGTGATCGTTGTTGAGCAGCTTGTCTGCTCATCTTGTCTACGCAGCCGACGCGAATGGCCTGGTCCATGAGCCAAAAAGCGATGGTCTTGTCTCCCACAATTGACTGGTCATGCGACTCCAAATACCCAATGCATTTCTCTTTCCAGCGCTTGTTTGTGAGTGTGCGGCAGATGTAGCCCAGGTCCCAACAATCATCAGGCACTTCTCGCAGCAGCTTGATGAACATGTCAGGGATTGCCATCGCCAGCCGATAATCGAACCCAAACCCACCATCCTCAATTGGGAGACAAAGGGTTGGCATGCCACTGACATCTTCTGCGACAGAGATCGCGCTGGGCAGTATGGAGTGCATAAGGTCGTTTGCCAGCATCAAATAAACTTGCCCCTCGAAATCGGCATCGCCACCAAAATAGTCGTGGAAGTTGCCACAGTAGCCTTTGCCAATCCCGTGCGAGAGGTAAAGCATGGATGTGACCCCGTCAAACCGGAAGCCATCGAAGCGAAACTCTTCCAACCAGTATCGTATGTTCGAAAGGAGGAATCGAAGCACTTCATGCTTCGTGTAGTGAAACAATTTGGAATCCCACTGGGCGTGATGGCCTTTGGGTCCACCATGGGTGTAACAATGATCCGTCCCGTCCATCATTGCAATGCCATCGAGCGAGTTGGATGAGCAGTGGGCATGAACAAGGTCCATGATGACTGTGAGGCCCAGAGCATGAGCACGATCAATGAGCTTCTTCAACTCTTCCGGTGTTCCGCATCTGCTTGAGGGTGCAAAATAGGAAGTAACATGGTATCCAAAGGACCCATAGAAGGCATGCTCAGCGACCGCCATCATCTGGACTGTGTTGTAACCCAAACGCTTTATGCGCGGAAGAATATCCTCTGCAAATTCCAGATAAGTAGCCACTTTGGGCTCCTTCGAACTCATGCCAACATGCGCCTCATAGATCTTTGGAGACGCGGGCTTTGGTGGCCTCACAGGGAAGAAGCCGTTTCTCTGCCGTTTTTGCTATGCAGTTTGCTGCAAGGTTTGAAGGGCACAGCTTTGCTTAGGCGATGCACCCGACAGCACAAGGCGAACCGTGTCGCTTTGGCCCCCGAGCCGGCCTGTCGTGTTTGAAAACGTAGCGGTCCTCTTTAGCAGGATACCAGTGAACACCATTGAAAAGGTTGGTATTTGGATCCTGCCAAGCCAGCTGTGTCCAAGCAGGTACCCGCTCGATCCACTGACCATCGTTGGTCTCCACTCCTTATCCGGTCCACAGGTGGCAGCTGCTCTAAGGAATTATGCCCTGCATCCGAAACTCTAAAACCTTAAAGTAGCAAGAAGATAGAAACCAGAGGAATCATGTGGAAGCACGATCGTTCATCAAAAAGGTTTACCACAGCGAGCAGGACGTCTCAAGATTCTTCTTCTGCACGGTGGCCGAGAGAAAACGGCTCTCCGCAAGAAGTAGTCAAAAACCGAAAGCTAAAGGCCTGTTGAACATGTCTTCTGACCCCTTTTACCCAACAAGTGGATCAAACTAAAACTGGAAACCCCACCCTTAGGTCAGTCAAGAGTGAGCTTAGGCTCATAAACTTGCAATCCCTGGCTGCAGTCCCTTCTTCACGTGAAGCAAACCTGAATTGCTCTACTTGATGTTGGCCCCTGTCAAGCAACGGGAGAATTCTTCAAGTCCAGCCTTCGCTCATCTGCAGCTAAATGGACTACGAGTGCATTTTAAGGATGGTTCAGGCTCTAGGGTTTAATTACAGGGTTTAGGACAGAATTCCCTAAGCAGCAAAGAGTCGAACTTTCACCTGGCACTTGTGCGGAATCGCTGGCTTCCCGTCAGGCAGGTCTTTGAGCTCCACAGACCAACGTCCAGACCCCTGGCGTGGTCACACATGCGTCTGTCTGTGTTTCTCATCTGCAACACACGCAGGACTTCAAGGTTGCTGTAGTGAATCTGCTTGACGTCATCTAGGGCACAAGTAGAAACCCTAAGCCCTAAACCCTGAAAAGTAGTTTCCGTTCTCTTCCATCATCCCTATAAAACCTGATATCATAACCCCCCAAATTCCATCAAAGAGCCGTTCCCTGTTACCCATGGCATGCCTCCGACTTTAGAGGCGTGGTATTCTCCCAGCCGTTGAATTCACCAATGAGGAAGACTTGCTTCGCGTTTGGCAGCCATTCGCGGTAGGTTGTGCCCGTCTCCTGAAAACACAGACGATTAGGGTTTCAAGTCAGGAGCACCGAAAAATGTTGCCCGTCCTGCCGAGTGAAGCCGAATGTGCGGTAGCCATCTGCAAATTTGGTGAGTCCCCCCTCAAGCTTCTTCAACTCGTCTCTCCACCACCTGCAGACTAACCATGCTCAGCCCAGCTGGGCATGCACATAGGTGCGCCGGAATCCGCGACTAACAGACCCCTGAAGACAACATCTCCTGATAGCAACATCGAAGGCAACATGCCTGAAGCTCTTGACACGCTCCCAAATGAGATCTCCAACGCACTTCAGTGACGGGTCCACGTCGAACACTTTGAGCGACATGGCTGATCGAGTGCTTCATGATTATCAAGGGTGACGTGCTTGCTCGCAAAAAGATGTGGGCTTGACTTTCTTTGATTTGTAGTGTTTGAAAGAACTGGAGTTCTAGGTCACGAAGCCGCTGTCAGGAAGCATGAAACAAGACCTGCTGACTTCCATGCAGTCTGAAACTTTCACAGCTAAATGTGGTTGGAGGCAGCAGCATTCATGACAGGGCTGAAAGGTTGCTTTGAGCTTTGGAAAAGGAGACAGGGGCATGTGTTTCTCTCTTACTCAGAGCTCCCTCAACGTAACACCCCAACACCAGGGACCATTTTTGTTGAGAACACCCCATTGGCTACATGTTGGCATGGGCTCCACAGTTGGTGCCCGGCTGCGGCACCACCGCAACCTCGGCCAGCTTTTGACCTGGGGCTGAAATCTGACACACGGCAAAGGTGTCAGGCGTTGAGAGACCAAGTGGGAGAGCATAGCGACCTTCATGTTAAAGCAGTAACTCATTGCCCTGTCAATGTATTTGGCAACCCATGCAGGCGTCCGGCTGATTTTAGCAGTTGCCCGTAGAATGAAAGAGGGGCTTGCCTGTCGAACTAGCATGCTTTGCGGATGCTGCAGGCTGATGACCTCTGTGTGTCGCCTCTGGAATGCCAATCTTGTCGCAGAGGATCCTCTCAGCTTCCGAATGCAATTGCGCTCAGCTCTAGAAAAGCCGGGAGGGCCCTCCTGCTTCCATGCAAACCCAGGCTGTCAACCTCAAAGACCATGACCTTGCAAGCATAATTCCAGCAGAGGAGCGACAAATCTGGGCACGAGTCGAGCTAGCAAACCTCTTAAGATATAATGCTTTGTTGCCCTAACTGGGTGGCAAGCAGCTCGAGCTGCGCACCCCGCGTCCCACAACTGGTTGGGTGACCAGACCTGGCCAAAGATGGCTGACATTGGCCGAGCCCTTTGAGGAAATTCTATAGGATTCCTGCCGGCCTCGATGAATTTGTTGACAAATCCAAGAAGATAGTGCATCAGCTGATCCTGGCCTAAGAAATGCGCAGGGTCGCGCAGATAGGGCAGTTCATAGCTAAGGCATGGGCAAGGCAAGCTAGCATCTGCCAGTGAGCAGAGCGCCTGCCCCTGGACCAACATGTAAATGCTGCCGTGCAGTAAAGCTCGCAAACTTCAGGTGAGATCCTGCATCTGCTCCGCCCTCAGGAGAACTGCGCTGGATGGTGCACTCGACAACGACCTGGGCACTGGGAGTTGACATTGGTGCGGGCAATCTATGTAATCTTGAGCAAGACATAGCTTTGTGGAAGCTCTGCACATGGTGCAGAAGGGCTTTCACGCCTGAGACACCCACTTAGTCATCACGTCTGATTCCACAAACTTCCGCCTTTCATGCAGGAGGCAGGTGCAGGCCCTCATGACAAGGAGTGGCTGATGGATTGAGACCTGGTGTTGGCCAGTTCTTGTGGCGAAGGCTGCATCACCTCTCTGCCATCTAAAGCAGCTCAACTGATCTCTGGACCCTTGAGGTGTGAGACTGGAAAGACCTTGAGCATGGACCGCTCCGAAGTTTCTCTGAGCAAGGCAGCATCTACCTGAGTTATGATCCAGCTGCAACAGGAATTGCTGAAGCTCACATCCTTCACGAAGCTTCAATGTGTCCTGGCAAGCTCTTAGAAGAATCGCCAAATCTCCTTTAGGTGCCGCGCGTAACTGAATGTTGCTGATGTCTGTGCAAGGTTGCACCTCATCACAGGGTGAGGATTCCGCATGGCTTAACGTGCGGCCAGTGTGGCTCTGGCAGGTTTTGCGCATCAAGCTGGTCCATAAGCCCAACCTCAGCATTAAGCAGAACAGCAGCATAGAACTGGGATTCCTGCATGTGTGCAGCAAGTTTGCAGATCTAAAGATGAGCACTGCGCGCAGCGAGAGATCGCCGCTGCCATCAAAGATCCATTCCAAACCTGGCGCGCTGGGACGTTGTCTTTTTGCGTGTTGTTCAGCTGATCAAGCTTGGAATCTTGGCTGGGCCGGCCATGAGGGCAGCAAATGACCAGGCCGAGATTGCGCAGTCCACATGCCCAAAGCGCGGTACGTGCATCAAGGCCTGCAGAAACACAGAGGAAGACTTAGCTATGTTACTTACAGTGTTGCAGCAGCTGAAATCACCGCATGCCGGGCCTCACGTGCCACGAAGCTGATGACCAAAGTGCCTCGCAGGCACTCCGAGCGCTCTTCGAAGCAGTTTCAATGCGTCAGCTTCCCGTATTTCAGCTCTCTCAGCTCCGGACTCCGGGTTCTTGCAGCGGCCTTTCGTAAGCGAGATTCTGAAAGATGATACCCATGACTGATAGGCTGAGCCCAAGGCGTGAGACTGCGCGATGTTCGAGGTGTGCTGTGGTTCCCATCCTGACAAACCTGGCAACTCTCATTATAACCCATGTCTTCCCTTCAACAGCAGCTAATGCAAACTGCTGACTACGTACGGCGCATGGTGCTTTCTGTTCTGTGTAAGTTCGGTGCTCTGCATGTCAGCGGCCAAGCCAAATGGGTCCTAGCGCGAAAAAGTTGTCTGCTAAGTGCAGTCCAGCTCGGCTCGTCGCCCAAGACTACTGTAGGTAGAGTGAGCATTGCTGCGTGCGGCTCCTCATCCATGGTTGCGGGTGTGCCAAAGGTTCAGAGCAGATTGGACATGTTCTGCGGCTCCAGTTCCATCCTGCTCACAGCCGCCACTTCTCTCATCTCAAGCGATTTGTTGCTGCAAAATGCTGCAAGCGTGCCTTCTGCTCATCCCCTGGATGCTGATCGCGCGCAACAAGGGCTTGCCACAATAAGTCGAGGTAGTCACCTTCCAAGCTGCGTTTGACCTGAAGCGCTGGCTGCTGCACGGCGGTGCCCGATTTTCGTATTCGGAAAAGTGGTTGAGGCACCAACGCATCTTGCGCGGAGGACCTGCAGATCCCGTCCTGCACGGGCTTGGAAGCCATGGCTTCGCGTCTTGAGTCCTATGGATGTTCAACTAACATTGCAACTTGCGCGGCTCCTGCCCTGCAGCTGCAAGAGCATCCAAGGATGCTTCAGAGCGGAAGGATGTGCTCGCCGTTGCCCAGGACCTTAGCTAAAACAAGCTGTATTCCCCCCAATAATGGAAAACCACGTGCAGAAGACAAGGGGATGTGCAATGGAAACCCTATAGGTCCCTTGAAAGGGCTATATAATGCGATATACACTATACAATCTCACAGAAAAGGCAGGGCCCACTGCAAATTGGACGAACCCTGCGAGTCGAAGCCAGACATCTGCTGCAAAGCCTCCATGACATTTTCTTGTGGCATTTGGTTGTTTTCTGAAATGTGGGGACTCCAATATTATAGACCCCAAAATACTATAATCGTTACTTATGATAGGGACCCCCAAAAGGGTACCCAACATTTTGGGAAACCCCCATCTTATACAGCAGGAATTCATCTCCGTCGCCCTCTCTGCCTTTTGTCCAGTCGCATCCATCAATACGAGATTTCAATGTTGAAGCTTGGCAGCAGCTCAGGCAATGTTTGACCTGCAGCAAGCCGAACGAAAACCAAAAAGCTCAAGGTACATTGACATCAAGGTCCAAGCAAGTCTCTTGGCGAGAAGTCCTTTGCCGCAAACACCTCTGACAGCACAGGTGTCAAGCTGTTTACTCAGTGCTCTTGCAGACGCAGACCCCATGCAGTGCCTGCAACAGTGCCGCCATGAAATGCACGGGGAGAAACTGAGGAGTGGCGAGGGTCCAGGTGATGTTGGATGCATTCTGCGGTGCGGGCCTCATGCCATGAGGACTTGAAGCGGTAAATTTCCTTGCAGGACAGCGTCAGTCTACTAAGTCTGAGGCCCTTGCTCATGGATGAGACCGGTGGCAGCAGCCGCCTGGATATTACCCCTAAATATGGTGAATCAAATGGAAAAGAACATGGAACGTGAAATGGAGACTGGGCTTATATAGGGTCCATATAAACCCACTGTTCATTTTATTGACCATTTTCTCTTCCATCTGATTCTCCATATTTATGGCGGTGCAATATCCCTATATACGCGAGCTGCGCAACATATACCAGTCGTGAGCTTGTGAACAAGATGCTTATGTCGAGCCCACCCATCCGATGCGCAGAGGCTCGTGTGCAAAAGTTTCGCCATGATGGTCAGACACTTAACGGCTGACTACCTTTTCCCAAAACAGCTTGACTGCAGGGATTCTTGATTTCCGCGAGTGAAGGAATCCCCGCTGGGTGGAAGCTTCTGGGGTCCTTGTCTGCCTTTGTCAACCTCTTGTCTTCGGGTAGTTCCAGCCCTTACAGGGGTCTTGGCTGGTGTAATTGTGTTTAGCAGACGCTAAGGAAGCAAGTGATGTCCCAAGCCCTTCAGCTCCATGACGCCTGTTCTCTGATCAACGGAACATCAGCAGACAGCAGGGTGGCAGGCTTCCGGACCTTAGGCGCTCTATAGTCACCTAGCCTGACGCCTTACACTGCTTTGCACTTGACACGTCAAGTCTCTCTGCCAACGCAACTGGTTAGTCCCGGACTAGGTTGGCCAACCCTTGTGGCACGAACTCGGAGGTCCCTGCAGTGAAGTATGCAATTCAGATGGCGCCGGAGGGAGAAGGTGGCATCTGCTTGAAAAGGTCAAGCGGTGTCGTTATGCTGGTAAGGTGCGTTTGTCGGCATGCCACCTTGTTGCGCCTGGCAGCTGGGAAAGAAGTCAAGGTACATACATATCACAGAATCTGATTCCAAATCAAAAGTCAGCTTACCATCTCCGGGAAGTCCTCGGCACAAGACATGCCAGCCGTGCTGAACAAAGGCTGGTGGGGAAGTGCCGACTTGGCGTGCGCCTGATGTTGCACGACTTCCGCTTTCACGCAATTGCATAAGCCGATTTGCTCCAGCTCTGGGGTGTTAGACCCATGCCAGGTTCGCTAGATTCTGCTGCGTGCAACCTCAGAGAAGTCAGCACAAAGCTAGACGAATCCGCATCTGCCAAGCGCAGCCCTTGGAGGTGCACTGCACATCTGCACGGGACCTCGGTTGGCGAGCGCATCCAGGACAGCCTCGCCTGTCAAGAGTTGGACCATTTGCAGACAGCTGGCATGCTGGCATCTTTGTGCTTGCAACTCGGCCTCGTATCTCCAGCCTTCCAAATGCCCAAGCAAACTTTGTCAGGGCAACTGGCGTCAACTCGTCCTCTCTGCACTTTGTAACAAACAATATTGTAACGACGCCAACTGGTCAAGGAACATGTTGTTGTAAGGGTGGTGCCACAATTGCAAGAGCTCGAACTCTTGTACTCTTCATCGTGAACCCATCCACTGCTTCAGCTTTCGCAGATGACCAGGCAAGATTGGCCAGATCCACCTAAATGCGCATGGGCAATGGCACATGGCCAGCTGAATTCGCATGGGCTACGTGGCTCTGCCAGACTTGGGTGCAGCACGGCACCAAACTCTGGAAGCACCATGCGTGCCCTGTACCTCCGCGCTCCGTCTGAATGCTTACACCTTCGTGGAAACACCCGAAGGGCACGGGATGTTCTCGAGCAGAAGCATGCTTGCATGCGCTGCTGCAGCAAGCCTTCATGCACCTCGGCAACAGTGTTGGCCAGTTGTCACCTTGTTGCACATCACGAAGAGGTGTCACAGCATTGAGCTTTTGGCTGTCTGCAGGGCTTTGCGGCTTGCTCGCATGCAGACTGGTCAGTGCAGCAGAGGCCAACATGCCTGCACACGGTCTTCCATCAAGTCAGGTTGCAGCACTGAAAGATCCAGGCCTGAAAGAGCTGCATCCTGCAGGACCAGGAGACCTGCATCCCTTGCCAGGCCTCTGCGGTGCGAACACGGTCTGTTGGGTATAAGCAGGTCCTGCAAAGCTCAACTGCTTTAGATAACTAGGACTTTGCCCCCTGAAATCAAAGACTCCAAGCCCAGCACTTGCCAAATCCTGCGCGTCACATGGTAGCCTGGCCTCAGCCAACAGCTTCTGGGCCATGCGACAAGATCATCAGTTGCCAGAGTACAGCAGCAATTTCAAAGTGCGACCCGGCAATTCATAGAAGTGCTGATCAGTTTTGTGGATCCCTGGCCCTTCATTGCATGATTTCAAGGCAGGGACCACCACAGATTCAGCGACCAGCTGCTGAATCTGGAAGACCACCGTTCAAGCCAAAGAGTGTAGACCCAAGGGGTGCTCTCACTAGAAGGCTTGTAAGAATTACCTATTTGAGTATACTATAGCTAACATAATCTATAAAGACATATATTGGGAGTTCCCAAAATTAGGTCCTTTCCCGGTAGCCCTAAATTACAGGTGCCGCAATATAATATGTAACCAAAAGGGACCAATTTTGATAATGACCCATATATAATATACATATACACACGACTCATACTCTTCCTACTGAAGCATAACAGGACGAAGGCCTGAGGAAATGCGGCTTTGGCCGTGATGGGGTGCCATGCAGCCTTCGAAGGATCCTGCCACTGACTGAAGGGAGGAAAGAACGAGGGGTTTAGGGGAAAGTAGGGTTTATATGGAGGCTACATGGGATGATATAAGCTTTAAAAGTTTTCCCCAAATTTGTGGTACCTTTTTGGGGGTCCCCTTTGAAGGATTTGAAGGTATACAATAATATTTCGGGGTCTATATTCCCCTACTTATGGAAATTACTAACTAATCTTGGGGCTTCCGCAAAATAAGGTAACCCAGACCCCTGATTAACAAACCCCTCCCCTCAACATCCCTTAATAGGGATTATCATGGGGACCCTAATTTTAAGGCCCTTAAAAGGAGGGGGTTTGTTCATCAGGGGTCTACATTACCCTCAGAGACAAGGATTCAGCTGGAGGCCATGTTCCTCTGGCTTCACAGGCCACAGAGGTAACACCCAAATAGTAGTTTCCATTTTATTTTCCGTTATTCCTATATAACCCCCAATATATCCCCTATATAAACCCATGAATAGCAATGGTGTGCAAACGTGGCCTGCGCTGAAGGTTCAGGGAATCAGGTGGATGCACTTTCCACAGCTGCGTCCTGTATGTATGAGTCAAGGTGATCAATCGTATCCATACAACGCTTCGGCCCTGAGAGCGCTTCCATCGGCGGGACGCCCGAAAGCTCTGTTTTGGCGAGGTCACACAACCTGAGCAGGCCAATGTTGCATGCCCCAGTCGCTTTCTGATTTGAGCAATGAATATACCTGTTGAACTTGAACGTCTACAGGATGGCGCGCGGTCCCCTGAGATGGTGGCGCGTTTGCAAGGTGCTACGGTGCGGACTCATGAACTTTCAAGCTCCTTGCCGACACATGCAGCCATAAGCCCTTCACGCTCAGAGCATCGGTTTGGCTAGCTCTCATATGTCTGAAGTGCTTGCTAAGCTTCGCATGGACAGCTGGAACATGTGGCAGCAGCGTGTCTGGATTGTACGACTAGACCTGATGTAGGGGAAGGCAATGAATATCTATCACTAAGCCACAAGACGCCGATGTTTTTTTTGCATCCAAGGAGCGAGAGCTTACAAAGTGCTGCTAGGATGTTGAGGGACAAACCTTTGTGACCCAGTTCCACTACGCAACTTCCCGTCGGGCACTGGAGATGTTGCGATGACTCACATTTAGGTCTTGGCTGTGGGGCGGCTCGACAAGCGAACATGACCAGCTTCCGTGCCGAAACTTCATTGCTGGGCTGCCTCAACAAAAGCGCAGGCCTCTCTATACAGACTCTCAACAGTCTCAACAGTTCCAGCGCAATTTTGGCCCTGGCAACGTAGTGCGTCATCAAGCACTGGTTGCCAGCTCCTTCAGGCGAAGCAGCAGAGTGCAGTGTGCAGAGCTCGCCTACCACAATAGTGCCTTTGGACTCAACTCTGCGATGGGGAGCTCATCCAGGATTGTTATGCCTTGGCCAGCTCGAAGGATGCCCAAGGACTGTGCCTGCAGCTGGCCGAATCTAAAAACAAAATCCCTCACCGTTCTCAGAAAATGCCATGGAAGGTTCCGAGAACCTGGCTGCTTGCACCAGGTCCTGAGACCAGCCAGATGGTTTGAGGAACGAAAGCAGGAAGCCACGAAACCCTCCACTTGCGTCAAGCGAAGTCATGAGACCAGTGTACTGGCCTCGTGTTCCATTCCAAGCTGGAAGAATCTTTTGCAATTCCGTTGATTATGTTCAGCTGTTCCGGCTGTCCTGCCGGGATGCCGACGACTTTCTTTCCACCAAATACTCCAAGACCTGCACACGGTTTCCAAACATAAACATCATGGATTGCACGTGTATCTGCTCAGATTGTCCTCAGCCAAGCAACGAGATAAGAACATGCAACGCAGATTTCATAACATCAGGTGCTCAAGCATGCGAACTGGGTCTGCACACGGAGACTGTCAGCTCGCAGTGTACGGGCCACAAAATGCCAACCATCTACTTGCACCAGGTGGCATGCCAGGACTAAGGCCGAGATTGAGGGAAACTGTGTTCCACTTTTGAAAAAAAACCTGCCGCTGTGGCAGGATATAAGCATGACGGCTCTGATGTTTGCAACCAGGATAGCCACGATGTTTATTACAGATTTCCATTCTTGAGTTCAGATCGGGGTCCTAGACACCGTCTCTTTCGAATGTTCGCCTGGTCACAACCAAGAGGAGCTTAGCACAGACACGCATGCAGTGGAGTCTCGTGTCCACCATCTGAAAGCATTGTGCTTGAAACTGGGAAGACCAGCTTCCACTTCCACGGTTGACCATTTCATAGATTTGTGAAAAAGGTTTACGTGAACATTTCTTCACCCCAAGCTGGGAGGAACATGCCATGTCAGTTGAGTAGTGCTTTTTTGGTGTTGAACCTAGTAAGATAATATTCCTTGTTTATTTACTATACCCCAAAAGGAGGATAGAATCTTACTCTATATTGAGTATCCCCAAATAGAATACTACTCATTTGGCAAGGTCACGGCCCTCAGGCTAAACCCATGGTTTTCGAAGCACCTGCCAGATACCAATGCAAGGAGCAAGTGGGCATCGACCATTTAAAACATAGAGAACCGCTTTTTCTGGTTTCTTTAGAAGACAGCGCAAAGTTGAGCGGTGGTTGCCTTTCTTACACGGTTGCAATGGCAATAGGGCAATCTTCCGGCATCTTCCACAAAACCCCTCCGCAAACCTTCCGCAGCGCGAGTCAGTTCATAATTGTAGGCTGCCTCGAACACCTTGCGCAGGCTGCTTTTCTAGTTCGTTTTCGGCTACAGGAGAATACATGTTTGAACCGTTTGGCCCAATGTATCAGTTGCAGCATTACTTCGTATGTAACAATCATGCTCCATGTGTGCGCTGGGTGGACTGTGCCGTGTGCAATGGGATAATGGATATAAAGGCCACTAGTCAATTTTGGATCACTTTGGCCCGGCACTCTTCTGAGGACCTTACTACGGAGCTTCCGCCAATGCTGTTCTGCTGCTCATCCACATTCAAAGCTTATGATCTTCACCTTGAGTAAGATGGAAACTATGGACCTTCCACTGAAGCTTCCGTCGACAAAACCTTCCGCGAAAGCTTGCGCATGCTTCTGTATGGACATGATGTTGTACAGTTGCTGCAGTCATACCTTCGAATGTCTCTTCTCACCAACAGTGACCAAAAAAGCAGCTCAGTTGGGATTGCTGCCCTCAAACGAGCGGATGGGAAGTTGCTTGTTGTGTGGCTGGGCGTGTCGAGAAGGATTGTCCGCATGAGTTGGGTGTGTACACACCAAAAATTGCGGATCAGGCCTACTAACCAGTACATAAACTCGTCCAGAAAAAGCAATGATAAAATTGCACATACCTGTAGATCCCCATGACTGCTTGCAATCCCTTGCAGCCCCTTTGATCAGAGAGGATTGAGAAGAAAGCACCTCCTGCCGCTTCCCAATACTTTGGAGCTAGAGTATGTCCTCTCCCGTCAGTTTAACAAGATGTGTGAGAGCTTACAAGTCTCGACCTCATATACTATGATTTTGACTCCATGACAAACGGTCAAACCAGCAGACCGGACGGTTGTCCAATCCCGGGGAAGTAATCCGTCTGTCTCCCCTTGCTGGAAGTCCAGGCCAGGATTGGGCAAAGGCTTCTGCACTGCGTCCACACTATGCCCGTCCCGCCGTGTGACTTTGAAAGCCGAGGTAGGTCAGCTTTGAAATAAAAATGGGGCGCGGATCCTAAGGGAGCAGAGCAGGATGCTACAGTACAAGAAGTCTGGGCTACAATTGGTTGCTACCCTCTCTTCTATCCAGCGCAGGCTCCCTCAGCAAGGCACCGAATCAAAGAATTCGAGGATGGTCTATGCAATATCATATTCATCAAGAATACTCTCTGGCCGCGGTCTGCAATTGGACAAGATGTTGACCATGCAAGCTGTTCAGAGATCGGTCTCCAACCAATCCAGCACAAGCTGTCGCTTGTGGTAGCACAACTCCAAGATTTTGTGAAGGGCGGTGCCACTGGAGGTCGCTTGGAGTTTTGCTCAGCAAGCATGCCATTTGATGACACATGTGCCCTCAGTGCCCATGAATGGGCACAGGCAAAGGCGAGCACAGAAAGGCAGGACAGACCAGCAACCGAGAAAAAATGCTGTACCTGTGCGGACTTGACATTAGGTGAAGTCTTGCTCCGCCACTGCAGGCACTTTAGCCCGTCAAATTGTAACTTGTTTATTGCACTGTCAGACTCACACCTGACGTGTAGCTCGGAAATTGGGAATGAGGATCGGCTGCCAACGCTCAAACTCGCATCTGTCCTAATTTGAGGCAACCATCCACCATGCACGCACTCCGCACATGGACTCTCAGATGAGCTATAATCTAAACTCCTTAAATAGTTGCTTTCTATAGGGGATTACTATAGGGAGGTTAAAGGGGATACTGGGAGCTTATACTGTAGCTCCCATGATTATGATTAACTGGTCTGAAGGTTGCGAGCACTCTCTAGCTGACCGAACACGGAAATGACAGTGGTTGCCTTGCTGTCGAGGCTCCTGCCACGTGCTTTTCCGTCAACATCCTTTGCGATGCGCGGGTTTTGCCGAAGCAGGCCTGTCAAAGGTATGGTCTGGACTCTGTTCTCTGAAGTTATTGGAGTAGGCTACAAACTTGTCGCCAAGTTACGAAGAAGCAGCTGCAGAAAGCATCCCTTGGCTCCAGGGGGTTGCTCCACAGGATCTGTTCTAAGCCGATGAATTCCTTGAATTTCTGGCAGACCGCCCTGCAAAGCCTGGTGCTGATGTACTCCAATAATGGTCCAAGATCAAAGTATGTAAGTCAGAAAAAACTGTCTTGCACACAATCCGCGCTCCACGACAGCAACTGCTAATTGGGGGGTTCAGGGTCACCACAGAATTCTCCTATTACAAGGTTGCCTGGGGGTGGATCCCTGTCCTCCCTATATAACTTTCTATTATAGCCCTCATGTTTTCGCGTGGCAGCGTGCGGACTTGTATGCTCCGTTATATCCGAGCTTCTCGATCATGACCCTTAAGAGCGAGCCCCGCAGCCCTTGTATTCCCTAGATGCCCATCGTATTCCATATGAGGAGTAACTTCACCGACGAGACTCCTTTCCTCATCCAGTGATCGGAGGAAGCGCTCTTGAGGCGGTGTCTGTAAGCATGCTGGACGCACAAGGCGTGCCCATCCAAAGAAAGCACCGGCAGTAAGACCTGTGTCAGCGCTGATACATCCGCGCGTAAAGTCCGAAGCATTCCGCACAAAGGCATTGTAAAACAAAAGCAGCAAGATCTGTAGCAGCCGCTCCTGGACAAAACGCGATTGCCAACGCTGCCAGCATAGACATAGATCGTCCAAGGCCAGACTTGCAGTGCACCACAACCTTGCATCTGTCAGGTAAAAAACGTACAGGACAATCACAGCTTGAACTTCAAGTATCCAGGGGAAGTTTGCAAGATACACGTAAGACCTCCTTCCATCGAGACACGGAGTAGCGTCCGGAGTGGCGCTTCTGATGCTGCTTTACCTCCTGCCATGTAGATTCCCCTGCTCTTGAAACTTGAAGCCTTCCACAATTCCGGGTCCTCCTCCGAGCTAATCTCTTTCAGCAGCGTCTCGACCGCCGCAATTAAGTCTGATACCAGGCGCGATGGTGGCGCGGTACCTCGCAAACAGCAGGGACAGCATAACCCAGCCGAACAACAGGTTTAAAGCCGCATAAGCTCCTGAATGCTTTGCCACTTGCTTGAGGCCGCACTGAATGACAGCAAGTTACCATCCTCAAACGGAACGTCAAGCTGCTTGACGCCCCACCTGCGATGAGAACATGCCAGTCCAGCTGATGTCCACAAAGCGCCAAGGTTCTATTGAAATCGCCTTGCTGAGCCCATTAATGCAAACTTGCCAATGACAGCGCCTCTCAAAGAAGTCGGCGTAAGATCCCCCAGGGGGTAGGCCTCACGTCAGGAACACCTGCTACCGTCTCATCATTATCAGCATCATGCACAGCAGGGATTGTGGTGCGTCACTATGCGGGCCGATACAGCCAGAGAGGATCCACGGAGCACTTTCTTCTGTTCACTCGTCTGAGCGTTCCCGTGCCCGCCCAAGATCCAGCAACAGCAGCTTTAAGCTCGCAATGCTGCGTCTCCCACCAAACCAGCCAAAGGCAATCTGCCATGGCCCGTGCTCGCCGTTCTATTTTGAGCATCTCGCCCCAGCGTCTTTCGGTTAGCAATTTATTTGTGGATTGTGGCTTGCACAAATGGGCTCAAAGCTGTCCTTCCAGCATCCTGCTGAAGAGCTCAAGTCTCGGAGTCTTGCAGGTTAACGGCTTCATCGTGGGAGCTATTAGCTTTGGTTTATATGGCTTGATGAGCCTGGCATTTATAGGGTTAAGTGCGTTTGCAGGTGGGCGATTCAAGCTCGAAGAAATGCCAAATAAATCTGTAGCCCAGTAGATGGCTAGAACTCGATCACCATCTGAGAACAACTGTGTAGCCTTTGCGCTTCAGCCAGCAGTGTGCTCTTCAAAGCAACTAAACTCCGTACGCGTAATTAGGACTTTCTAACTCAGGCAGCAGGAGCAGCAGCCGCCACGCCAGCAGCAATAAGCACCAGCGGCAGCAGGAGGGAATACTGGCTGAATTTGAGACAACTACGCAGATGTAGGCAGCTCCATTAACGTGTCACAGTCCAGAGTCTCTCATGATTGGAGTCTCGCATTGGCCACTTTATGTGCAGGATCTACTTTATCAGCTAACGAACGAGGATGCCCAGAGCAGGCCTCTCTCATTGCTGCGGTTGCCTCGCACCAATAACGAGCATCCTGCCACAAGGTACAGTACAGAGTAACAAGATCTTTGCGTAGACTTCATGCCACGCTTGCCAGCTGCCTAGCTCGTCTTTCAAGTAGGTGGCGAAGGCTGGCAAGTCTGCGGGGCGCTTCATGGATTGAGCGCCATCTGTTTTGTGAACCTGCAGATGCTTGGCCATGCCATGCATGGACTCAGACCCATGGAACGTTGAAACTTCCCCGGCATTCTAACACAAAGCATCCCACACAACAACTCGCGGAGGTGGCCTTTGTTGGAAGAGTATGCTTCTCCGAGAACAGGCCCGTCCGCTGTGGCCCAAGCTTCCGCTCCAAGCGCTTCGCGCGCTCATTCCATACTTGCTTGGGAGTCGCGGACGGCACACCATCCTCGTCGAGTGTGTGGATGTGAGAGAGGGACTTGTAGAGGCAGACAATGCTTCGCGAGCTCCGCGCTGACATTGGTGACAGCATGGCTCCCGGATCAGACACTGACTTGGGGATGCTGTTGAAGCTATCAGGAGCAGTACTGATGGTAGATGGCGAATCTGGGACCACGTTGTGTATGGTGGCGCTTGTGGCGCACTTCCGAATTGGATCCGGGCGCTTGGACGGATCCTCAAGCTTCACAAGAAGAAGCATTATTTTTGCTCACGTGGACCACTTGCCCGAATGAACACACACGCGTACATGCAGTCATTGTCCTCAACTGTCGTCACGGGATCGGCTGCTATCCAAAAGCGAATGGAAGCCATTTGCTCAAAGTTTGGGCTGTCCAGGCCCACTGAGAAGACCTGTACACAGATGGTTGGAGCTCGCAAGGCGCCCGTGGCTCTCAGACAGGATCCTCCAATGCCTTTCCTGTGCTGACAAGAAACCGGAACAGCATCAAACGCTGCAGCTGTAGAGCGTCTCTCCTTCAAGGCCCAAACAATTGCTGAAGCGGTAGCCACAACTTCCAATGGACAAGACTCAAGATGGGTGTTTCTACAACTTAGGGGTCTTCGTCATGTACCCCCGAAAAACCAATCATTCATCCCGATTACATGCACTCCAAAGACGGGGTCCCCAACGTTTGCCAACCCCTAGATGGACAAACTCCTCGCTTCTGTCAAGCCAGCCCTTCGTGACGGCTGTCTCCAGCCCATGAAGGCCTCGTGGCACACCCACAATATGGGCTCTGCAACGGTTTAGGGTTTAGGGCTCAGGGGTTTAGTCAGTCATCAGGGCTTAGGAAGATGTAAAGCTTGAAAAGAAACCTCTCCGTGCCAGGGCACAGTCGTGGAGGCTAAGGGAATCTGTTGTGAAATGTGGCTTTGCCTCAAGAATGCAAGCTGAAAGCTCTGAAGGAAGCTCTGCATGATGTCTTACAAAAAACTTGAGAGCGCGCCACATGAATTCTTAAGCGCAGGCAGGGTCCCTGTCGTACGAGAACCACTGCTAAGAACCTTTTGCATACTGTACCTCTTGCCATGCTGCTGTGAAGGGCGTTGGAAACCGCAGCTCCACTGTCGAAATTCTTCCGCCTTGCTTGTTCAGCAGGCAGATCACCTGCGCAACAGGGGCGCAACAGGGGTGAATGTGACAAGTGAAGACTGCCTGCGAAGTTTACGGCCTCCTTCGCTGACCACTGCCGCTCCAGGACCAAGAAAGCCCCAAGAAGCAGAAGGGAGTTGGCAACCTTACAAACTGGCCAATCGCGGCCAAGCGCACTCCATGCTTGGTTCCGAAATCCTCCGCCGGGGTGCTGCGCCAGGTCGTCGGGAACAAGTCAAACAAACGCAACTCTTCGGATCAGCCTCAAACTGCAGCCAGCAGTTTCTTGCAGGCTAATGTGAGGGTGAGATGCACCATAATCTGGCCACTTGAATGTCTCGGTCTTGCAGTGTCAGTGCCTCTTGCAAGGTCGTCCGCAAGTAGGTGCAGAAATCCAAGATTGTATCCTGAGGCAATGATGCCGTTTTTCAGGCAAACTCCACTACACTGCACTGCACTGCTCTTTTGCACCCCGCCACTTCCTCCACTTTGCATGAATGAATGATGCACCAAGTCTCTAAACTCAGGGGACCATACAGATGCACAGCTCCCAGCAAGGAGTCAGCGAAGAAAGGCAGCTTGAGTCTCAGGTGAGCCTTGCGTTGCAAAAACGTGCAAAAAAAAGGACTGATCGTCAGAAGCATCCAAGTGTCACCAAATCCGCCAAGGGACGGCGGCATCCAGCTCTTCTAGGCAAAGCACCGTACCACAGCTTCCGCCCTTGCAAGGCAGCTGCAGCTTCACATCCCCGAGCTTGGGAGAAGCAGAGCTACTCAGCTACTTAGTTTTGCATTTGGGGAGCTGCTTTGATGATATCTGACGCAGCCAAGGAGTCAAACGAAGCTGTGCCCGCCTGGGCTTCCACTAGCCTGCGTGCGGAAGAGGCACTCCCGCTACCACCTTCCAGTCAACATAGTTCCACGTTTCACAAGTTGACCCCTGAACCCTAAATCTAAATCCTAAACCCTAAACCCTGAACCCTAAACCCTAAACTCTAAACCCTGAACCCTAAACCCTAAACTCTAAACCCTGAACCCTAAACCCACTGTTCAAGAAAATGCGGCCCCGGCCAGCAAGCCAAAAAAGCTGCTCTGAAGGGATGCTGCGCCATAAGTAATCGGAAGATGCCATCCCCCACCCTGTGTCTGCTCGAGCCGCAGACTGCATTTAAGGTGTAGGGGTTTAGGGTTTGGGGGATAAATTGCATGATTCTGGTTGAGCAACGCCTGACTATTTGGCCAATGGACTGGCACAGCGCACAGGCTAGGCCACGTAAAGCAACAGGCATGTGCTCAATGCGCTCTGTGACCCTTTTCCCAGTGTGCTGTTTTGCGATCGCCCTGTTACAAGGACTTCCTGGAATTGTTGAATGTCGTGGACGAGTCCTGACAAGATGCAGAGAATTGCGCAGTGTTCAACAACAGAAAGACGTCTGCGGCTGATGTCCTTCAAGCGACTCACTTGCGGGTCTCTGCCCAGTCAGAGCCTTCAGGTAGCCAGCAGCCTGCGTGCTTGCTCTGTAGCAGAGCCAACATGCAAAGTGACCCGTTTCAACAATACACTGAAGCATTGATCCATGTGGAAAGCAAGGCTCCTTGGTGGCATCTTCAGCTTTCCTGAGCTGCTCCACGTCTGCAGCAACCTGATTTCCTGAGCCAATCAAAAGGCTGATTGATGCCTGGGCCAACCTTGAATACTTTCACAACATTTGCACAGATGGTTAGAGCCAGTGCGGCCAACAAATGGGTCTTGATCTACATTCCTTCATCCCGACATGACCGTCTTCGCGAAAAAAATACTTTTGCGATACTTTCGCGGATCCATTGCTGCGCATGTTTCTGATAGCTACAGAAGCTCCTTCAGCAGCCCCGAAACTCTACATTTAAAATCGGAAAGACACTGACTTTGCAAGACCCTTCCCTGCATACTTGAATCCAAAGTATCCACACCTGAACACCAAAGCCTCAGGCCCAAAATCACATGCGAAGGCCAAGCTCGGAGGCTTGGAAGGCTCCCCAGGTCTGATTCCAACCCACATGTTCAGGCCAGAGCGGGGTGGTTAGAAGAACCCTATCATGATCACTATCCAACACATAATACTCACATGTTGTCTGCGAGCTCTTCTTACCCACAGATTGCAACCTCTACTACGTGGTACTTACACGGAACTTTCGAGCATACTGATGTTGCCGGTCCAGATGAGCTCCATGTTTTTCAGGCTTAGAGTCCGAAGAATGTCTAGTGCGGATAAGCTTCCAGGGTTCCAATAGAGTCTCAGTCTAGGAGAGAAGGACGGGCGAAATAACGCACTTCTGCCCAAACAAGATGAGAAACCTGGCTCTGAGAGTCCTCCAGAGCCATAACCTAGCAAAGCTCAGAGCCTAGGCCTAGACATGTGTGCAAGTTGGATTGCGTAACAAGTTTCACGAGTATCTTTCGCGGTGCCATCACGAAACTTTCGTGAAGACATATCTTGGTATGCTGGTGGTCCATCCATATAGCTTTTCTACACGGACCTTTACATCAATGCCCCAATCGCTTCAACACCAAATCTGCGTGTCAAGATTCCAAGAAATGCACGTACAGCGCGAAGGATGCGAGAGTGATGTTGGCAAGAGGGCAGCTCTGGAAAGCGTTTCAAGTAAATTGCTCGGAGCAGAGGCAGAAGTGACAGCTCTGGTCCTGGCAGACGCACCCCGCATACTGGGGAAGTTGGAAGGTAGTTCACCCTGCCTGGTTGAACTTGACCATCAATTCCAGTGCCTGTCATGCAGCCTCTGTGCTTCACGTACCTTTGACGCGCTTTGCATGATCAGCACAACTGTGCAGACTCACGCGCAGGGCAGATTTGCGTCCAGCAGACATGCGATGACCATGCAAAGATCACGGAAGTGGGTGCAGCCGAGGCACAAGAAGGGCAACTCCTCTGCAGGCATTGGCAATATGCCAAGCCTTCATACTACCAGTCCGCCCTCTGCATGCCACAGGAGATAGCAAGGCACGTACCTGTCGGCCTTCCCGGATGCCGGATTCCTCGGGAACCGCGGAGAAGACCAAGCCCCTCGTTCAGGCTCCCTGTATCGAAGCGTCGCCCTGCCTGCTTCCACCATGACAAGAACAAGATCCCAAGGCCCTCTTGCGGCCCATGGCAAGTAATGGCAGAAATGCTCAAGTCATACTATGGCATATGCCTCGAACCACCGTCGACGAAAGCACAGCGTGTTCTCCAAAGGAAGAAGCTGAGGATCTTCGCCTGAGACGAACACGAAGAGACCTCCTTGGAGCAATGCAAATGCGGACCAGGGGCATGCCCGCAGGATGTCCCTGTCCAGCCAATAGAAGAAGCGCCTCTCCATTGCAGCCTCAAGTGACTTGTCGTCAATCAAAGTAACTCTCTGCAACTGTGAGACACTTTCTCAGAAGAGCTGCGCAGTTGCAGCGCGGGTTGCAGCTCAAGAAGTTAGCCTGACGGCTGACTCTGTCCAGAGTGTAGATGTCGTCATCATCCCAGGTGCAAATATACTCAGCCGTGGTGGATGCAGCTGCAAGGTTTCGCTTCTCCCCAATGGTGAGACGCTCTGGTAAGAAGCCTTGGAATGTGCACGGAGATGAGTTGTGGACAAAATCACCATACCCAACTTTGTGTAGATGGGTGCCAAGTCTGTTTGATGAGGCTGCCGTCTCAGGTACGGTACTTGATGTCGTGGCGCGAAGTCTCCGCGAATTGCAAGACATTCTTCTCAGCGCTTGTGTTGCTATCATCCAGGATCAGCACCTTTCACACCGGGCCAGATGCGAAGGTCACATGGTCAGCGCTGGGGAGATGGTTAGGTACAGAGACTGATGGCCTCCAGTGAACTTGGATAATCTTGTGCTTCAATCTGGTGGAGAGCTTCGAGCAAGAGGGCCGGCCGGTTGTACGTTACCACTTGCACGCTGACCTCAGCTGCATACGGTGAGATCCGAGCAAAGAATGAACCCGCATATCGCTCAACTCTAGAAGAAGTGCTGCTGCAATGCCAAGCATCAGAAGCGAATGAGTCAACGCCTGCCCCCAGTTGTGAATGTCGTCCCTTCAGGGCAGCAAAGCATGGCGATGCTGCTGACCAGGAAAGGCATGCACCTAAGTTAGCAAGTGACCGCAACAAGCTTGGGTCTAAGCATATCAAGATGACAGCTGGATGCATAGCACTGCAGCCAAACCACCAAGAAGTGGAACTAAAATGGATCCTTGCTTCCGCCGGCGAGGGCCGCGCATGTCTCCACCATCATGCCAGGCTCGACCCGGAAGCAGCATCCATCCAGTGCGCCTACATGCACCTGCATGTGGACGCCTTTCTTTGGGCCAAAATTAGAACAAGCAACATGCAGCAGCAAGTAACCTGTCATGGTAGGACTTTGATCTATGGCTTCCTCAATTGGACACCCAATAACACATTGACGTGCACCAAGACTCCGAGGAACGCAATATGCATGCGCGAAAAAGAAACCCATGATAAACACCTTACCTGAAATAGAATATTGGCTGCAGCGCTGCTCCTGTTAGGCACATGTCGCTCCCCGCGGGTAGTCCATAGGGCATTTGGGAATGGATCCTATAGTAGTCCCTCTATCATCTCTTCTACGGATGTCTGCATTCCGTTGCGTTATTCCTTGCTAAGTTGCCTTCTCAATCAAGACGTGCTCGGCAAGCAGTAAAATTCCAGGATCTCGCAACGCGCCTGAGCTAGCGCAAGCTTTGGGCATTGGCTTATACTTGTCATTGAAGAAGGATGCATTGAAGGCTGGCCATTAGAGGGTTTCAGCTTCAGAAGCGCAACGGCAACTGAGCAGCTACAAGCATGTGCTTCTGAGCCAATCACGGGCCAGGTCATGCGTGCTGAGCTACGTCATGCCCTGGCTACTAGGAAATGAGGCTCTTCAATTCTGCATTTGCAATCCCCCGCCCAACAAACGAATTCAGCAGCCTGAGCTGTCATCTCGGCAGAAGCACCTGCCAATCTTACGGGCAAAGAGGCGCAGGCGCTTTGCGAGATTCACGTGCAAGCGCAAGCTGGCGTCTGCACCCATTTTTCCCCCTCTGACTCTGGCTAGGTTGTTTTTGCAACTTCTTTGCCAGTTGCATGTGATGAGCTGCAGCAGCCTGGCAGGCATCCAAACTCTGAGGGGGTTATATTGGGATAATGGAAAGTCAAATTGGAAAAGAAAATGGAAAATGAAATGGAAACTGGTATCATTTTGGGGAACCCCTGGATTATACTATAGTATAACGGAAAAGAAAATGGAAACTACTATGATGGGTTATACAGGAAAATTGGGGTTACATTGGGGTTGGGCTTTCAAGAGCAGCGAATGCCAGTTGTCCATGCCAGCTGCCTTGTCGCCCAACTTCTGCAATGCTTCTGCGATCCCCAAATGAACCTTGCGGCTTGGCTGCCTTGGACAAATCGCCATGCTATCCTCTCTACACATTTCTTGGAATTGACATGTAACCCCTGGTGAACTTCCTGTCCTCGTGGTCCTACATTGACTTCCCTGAAATGGAAACCTCTGCACCACCAGCATGCTCGTCCTAGCCTACTTGTTGTCGTGAGATGTGGGGTTGTTCGGAAGAGCAAATGTTTTCGAGAGAACGCAGAAGACAACCTTTAGTTCGTCTATTTAGCTCTTGCGTTGCTTCCATGCCCTGCAATGGCAGGGGCCTTGAAATCTGCTCTTGCATTGTCGTTCAGACCAGGCGAGGGCCAAAAGGGTGGGCGAATCTCTTCTCTCCCTGGAGGCTGCTTCTGTATTAGAACCGCTAATCCCTCTGTGACTCAATGGGGTAGAAGTTCTTGTGTAATTTCTGGCTCTTGTTCCCTTTGCATTATCACCGTTGCCTTTGTGGAATGCAAGAACTGCTTGGATTTTGAACTTTTAATTCAGACTGCGGACAAGAAAGCCCTACCTTACACCATATATGCTGGATTTGCCGGCCCCTCAGAGTAATGCCATCCTTTTGTTGTTCCGAGACCCCATCTAATCATGGTGCTTGGGTTCACTTGGATACTGCGTTCCTCAAAGGAACCCTTCATGCACCTTACGATCCCTTCGCGTGATGCTTGTCTGCTCTGTTGGCTTGCATTGGCCTC